CATAAAATAAAAATAAATAAATAAATAAAATATATGTTTAAAAACGCTTCAAAAGATGCACCTTCACCAACTAGGCCTGGTGCCTTCATTACATCATCCAAACCGTCCATTACATCATCCTGGCCCCTCCCACCTTTTCTCCCCAGGTAAGCATCATTCATCACGTTTCTGAGAACACTGTCCTGACTCCACCGGACTGTCGCTGTTCCTTTGTCAACACTCCACAGGCAACACCTGGTAGTTCCCACCTTGTCCACTGATGTACCCATTCTGTGTAAGGAGATACATGCACATACTGAGGACACATCAGGTGTCCTGCTCCATCACATTCCACTTATCCTCTTGAAACAGGGCCTCTCACTGATCCTGGAGATAGGCTGGTGGCCAGCAAACCCCAACAATCCTGCCCCTACCCCCCACAGCGCTGCAGCTGCGGGTACACATGCAGCCGTGCCCAGCTTTTTACACGGGCACTGGGGATTTGAACCCAGGTTTCCACGTTTGTACAAGTGCTCTTACCCACTGAGCTGTCTCCCCAGCGCCACTCTATACTTTTGCTAACACACGTCTGAATTACCGTAGCTATGGGTGATGATTGTAGCTTCAATCCTTCAACTTGGTTCTTTAACACTGTGTAGGCTACCAACTCTTCATATTTTCCATATAAACTTTTGAACCAGTCTGCTAGTATCAAAACAGTAACTTGCTGCGATTTTATGATCCTATGTTTGATAATAAGGTGTACGTAATTGGTATGTGACCCCATTTCCTGGCACCAATTTCTTAAAACTCATGGCATCTCCAAACTGATGTGTTGTTCCTATGACCAGGAGAGTCTCAGGATGGGGGCTGGTTGCCAGAGTAATCAACCTGGTGACTTCTGAAGGCTAGGAGAAGAGCCCAGGGTTGGAGGGGCAAACAACATTCCACATTCCCAGGGGCCACTCAACTCATGAAACATAGTAGGCTGGTATTCAGGCAGATGAACTCTGGATCCAGCCAGCCTGGGTTTGTCTCCCAGAATCCCCTTCACAGCAAGTGGCTTCAGGTGCTGAGTTCACTTTGCCTCTGTTTCCCCAAAAGTTAAGAGCAGGAACATTATACTTGATCACAGTGTCTTCGTGAGGATGAAGTGAATGTTCCCAATTAAGACCAAGCCTCACAGTCTTTTAGGGGATGGTTAGGGGAGTTGACACAGCACCTCACTATGTGGCTCAGGCCAGCCTCAAACTCACAGTTCTGCCTCAGCTTCCCAAATACTGAGATTACAGGGATTTCACCACACCTAGCAGCACCCAACAATTTTAACAAAGATATAGAAATTTGTATGCATTTGTTACGCAGTCTTTCTTAAATTACTTAAAAGCACTTCCCACCAAGCCTAACAACCTGACTTCAATTCCTGGGCCTCAAATGGTGGGGAGGAGAACTGACTTCCTACAAGGTGTCCTCTGACCTCCACACATGCACCGGGATACATGTGTACTCACACACATACACATCTACACTAAATAAATGAAATGTAATTTAAAAACTAGTATCTGCGTCAGGCGTGATGGCACACACCTGTAGTCCCAGCACTTGGGAGGCAGAGGTAAGCTCTGTGCATTCAAGGCCAACCTGGTCTACATAGTAAGTTCCAGACCAGCTAGGGCTAAATTCAAGAGGTAGATCTTTAGGTAGTTATATAAGGGAACAACTCTGACAATTTGGAGACTAGATGTGCACATCTGTGTGCCCACAGGTGCATCCACATGTGTTCACGCCCATATTGTGTACTGTAGCTGACACTCTCTCACTAGCCTGGGACAAAACACAGTTCCCAAGAGCACAGCCCCAGTAACCCTCCAGCTAAGCCTCTCCTCCTGAAGTTTCTAGAATCTTCCAAAAGAATACCACCAGCTGGAGACCAAGCCTTCACTACATGAGTTTGTCAGGGAGGCATTCCCTATCTAACACGCAGCACATGTCCACTGATTACATCATTACAGCAGCAGATAATTCAGTATTCATTGAAACTCTCTGTTCATGGAAAAAAAAGGAACGGGATGCTTCAGAATGTCAGAGTCGAGCAATGCTGTGGAAACTCGTAGGGGTGTCTGACTGATTGACAATGCATCAGTCTTATATCGGTGAATTGAACAGAATATATTGCTATCCCCCAAAAAGCCACTGTCTCTCACGGTTTCAGAAATGCATTCCATTCAAGGGCTGAGGAGACGGCTCAGTGGGAAAGGTGTTGCTATGTAAGCCTGAGGACTCGTGTTCAGATCCCCAGCCCTCATGTAAAAACCGATGTAACCACATGCTTCTGTAACCCCAGCCCTGGGGGGAACAGGCAAGCAGACTCCAGCAGCTCACTGGCCAACCAGCCTAGATGAAATGTCAAGCTCCAGGTTCAGTGAGAGAACCGCT